AAACCACTCCAGTATCTTTGCCAAGAAAACCCCAAATGGGATCATAAAGATGATTGAAAACATGATTGAAAACAACTGAACAATATACTATATATGTGTTTATACATACTATATCTATATACATATATATATATATATGTGTGTGTGTGTGTGTATATGCACACACATATACATACATACAGGCATGCATATACATATTTATACCTACCTATACATACATATATGTGTGTGTGCATGTACCTAATAGTTGGATCTTTGAGTCAAGAGGTATGGATATTTTTGTCATTTTCTTTGCATAGGTAGCACATCTCTTCTAAAATTTGTTGTTTGTTGAAATGAGTCCCTTGTGTGGCCATACTGGCCTCTCAAGATGGTTTCCCCTTGTCTTCATCATGACCTTATTGGTTTTTTTCAGAATTGTATTCTTAAGAACATCCTATTCCTTTTAGGACAACTTCTTTCATGGAATTTTAGCATATAGGAACTTACCTATCCTTACTATGAACTCTTTGAAATCCATTGCTTCAATTCTAGGGTATCTGGACTTCCCTTCCTTATTTATTGCAAATTCTAAAATGGAATATCACCTCCTCCAAAGATTCTAATTACCGAGCATCATCAGAAATTTTCTGGACTTGTTCACTCCAGCTTTCTAATAGGACTTAACCTAATGAGAAAGAGGGGAAGTATTTACAGGTTAAATGATAGTTGTAGTACTAATCACATGACATTTGGACTCCAAATGAACAAGAATTCTCATAGTTTACTTGCTATTGGGTCTTCCCCTTCCTAAATCTTATATTCTCTCACTTCAGAAAATTGCATGATCAATTTCATTATTATGTTTTAATTTGAAATGTCAATTTCCCAGGTAGAGGGCCTAAATTCCCCCATATACTAGGGCCCATAATTATTCCATCTACTTTCTTTAAGTGATTATTCTGTCCTGTCAGAGTAAAGAAGGGGAATCAGTCAATCCTCAAGTAGTTATCAAGGCCCTATTGTGTGCCAAACACTATGCTAGGTGCTAGGGATGCAAAAATGAAAGAAGGAAAGAAAGAAAGAAAGAAAGAAAGAAAGAAAGAAAGAAAGAAAGAAAGAAAGAAAGAAAGAAAGAAAGAAAGAAAGAAAGAAAGAAAAGAAAGAAGAAAGAAGAAGAGAAGAAAGAAAGAAGAAAGAAAGAAAGAAAGAAAGAAAGAAAGAAAGAAAGAAAGAAAGAAGAAAGGAAGGAGGGGGGGAGAGAGAGAGAGAGAGAGAGAGAGAGAGAGAGAGAGAGAGAAGGAAGAAAGAAAGAAAGAAAGAAAGGAAGGAAGAAAGATAGAAAGAAAGGAAGGAAGAAAGAAAATGAAACTGTGCTTGCTTCTAAGGTTCATATTCTATTGGAAAATATAATATTAGAACAGCATGTACACATACTTATACTCTTCCACCTTCAATAGTGTCCCAAAAGTCAGTACAATGCAGCCTTGAGCTTTACTATATTAAAACTGGACTAAAACTTTTGGGACACCTTGTATAAGAATATATACAGAATAAAAGCATACAGAACAGTATGGGACTAGAGATGGAGAAGTCTGGGAATGTGGTTGGTGGTGGAGGAAAAAGGCTCTATAAGAGAAATGACAGGTTTTAAAAGGAAAAACAACGCCAGTTGTTCAGAAAGGTTTCTTCAAGGCCATGAGGTGGCAGCCTGTAATCATTTCATTTTCATTTTGTTAGGGAAGCTTTCAGACTCCAGTGGCCTGGACAGCCAGGAGAGAACAGCACCCCCACAGGCATGAAATTCGGAGGAATAATCCCCACAGCCTGTGAGGGCTGCAGGCCAAGAGATGCTTTAAACCTAAATTAGCCTTTTTGCCCGACCTTGGCTGGCCCTGGGGCCTAGGTGACTAATTGTTTGTGGGGGCTATTGTCCCTCCCAGGCCTATCTTCCCAGGACTCTCCTGGGTGCTCTGTGAGCCACAGAATGTCCTGATTGTTCTTGATAGGGGGTGGAATCAGATGTAGGGGGCTTAGATTGGAGAGACCACTGACCCATCCTTCAAGAAGGATTCAGGCTAAATAAACAAACTGTTTGCTTATTAGCCACTATCTCATTGGTGCTGCCTATATTCCAGCTATTCTCCTCCTCTCCCAGTATTCCCCCTCCCCCTACTCTATCCTTGTGTCCAGTGGCTCTGATAAATGAACTTTCACCTTAGCTTGCCTGAACATGCCTTTATACCATGACATCTCCCATATACTCCCCCTCCCTCTAGCTCCCTTTTATATATAGTCTTCCATTAGAACATGACCTACTTGAGGGTACAGACTCTCTTGCTTGCTTGTATTTGTATCTGCAGGGCTTAGCCTAGTACAGGGCACATAGGACATGCTTTATAAGGTAGAGGTAGAAGGCCTGTAGTTAGGGAGACCTGAATTCAATTTCTGCCTCCATGCCTTAGAAACATATTAGCTGTATGATCCTGGACCAATCCCTTAATCTCTACTTCACTTTCCCCAGCTCTAAAATGGGGATAATAATAACACTTCCATCCTAGGGTTGTGAGGATCAAATGAAGTAAGATCTGTAAAGTGCTTAGCACAGTGCCTGGCACACATAGTAGGTGCTTAATACATATTTCTTTCCTTCCCTAATAAATGTTCTCTTCCTCCCTCCTCCTCTTCTCTCTTCTCCTCTCCTCTCCTCTCTTCTCCTCTCCTTGCCTCTCCTTCCTCCTTCTGGTGTATCTTATCACCCCTCCCACTTATGGGACAATAATCTCCATGACTTGTGTGATAATCCCACCTCTGAGTTTGGGTGACATTATGTGTAGGGTTAAGGGACAAATTCTTAGGTGTCCAGTAGTTAGAGTGCTTTGAAAGTCTTAAAGTGCTACATACATGTTAGCTGATGTCACCATTTTTATCACCATCATTGTCACCATGATGATGATGATGAACCGACCTGTGACTTCACTGGTATAGCGAACTCGTAGGTGAGGAAAATCTCTTCAGTAATGTAGATCAGCACTTTTCTTCAGCTTAGAAGTCAAGTCAACAAAGTTTTGGGTGCTGGACTCTGTGCTAAGTAGGCCTAGAAGACTCAAAAAAGTCTTAGAAAGTTGTTTACAAGTTAAGTGACTGGTAAGGCCAGGATGTGTCATATCTGTGATACATTTTTATTGCCAAAGCAATGACTGCTAGAGCCATAAGTGCCAGTGGAATGTAAGCTGCTTGAAGGTGGGTGATTCTTTGATCTTTGTCTCAGTGCCTAGAGCAGCTCCTGGCACATAGCAGAGAACTTAATATGTCTTTGATGATTGAATGGATGAATAAATAAATGAATGATGCTGGATGACCAGCCTAGGCTAACAAGCTTTCAAAGTCTTCCTCAAAGGGATCAATCAATCAATCAACAACTGTTTATTAAGTACTCACTGTGTACCAGATACTATGCCAGGCTCTAGAGATACAAAGGCAAAAATAAAAAAAATCCCTCCTTCAAAGAGCTTACTTTGTATCAGGAGGAGATATATGACTTTAAAAGGAAATACAAAATGAATACAAAATGTTTTTGCCCAGTGCAGGGCAGGGGGAGGATCAGTGGCAGCTGGGTGGGAGTATGCAGCTCAGGACCAGAAGGCCTAACTTTTTAACTCATCTCTGTGACTTAGGGTACAGGAAGTGTTTCAGAGCTGCTTCTTTCATTCCCCCATAAATGCCTCCAACTGTATTTAACTGAGTGTCGCCATCAGGAAGGTGGCTCTTTGCCGTCTCTGTCCTGAGTGAGCTATTCACTGTGCATATCTCTCATGCTACTGTAGATGGCAGCAGAAGCCAAACAAAAGATAACCTCATAAGGGAAAAAAGTCATCAAATCCAGTTGCCCCTCAGCCCTGCTACCTCAGGCTCTTTTCTGGTGGGCTTTAGATGGGAAGCTTGAAGTGATTACCAGAAGTAGCAGCCACATTAATGAAATTCTACATCGAGTTATCACCTTCCTGCTTCAGAACAAAAGTTGTCTGGATTTATGTTTGTCTTTGCAGCTCAGAGATCCATGTCAGCTGGCCAGGACTCCTCTCCTTTCCTGGCTCACCTGGGCAGACAGGCCTCTTGCTCTGCCCTTTTCCCTTGGACAGGCCCAGATGTCACTTTTCCTGATTTTCTCTTGATCTCTCATTTCTGTTTCCCTCCTCCTGTCTGGATGGAAAGGGTACAGCTTCTGGACCAGGGCCACTGGTACCTAATTGTAACACAATCTGCTGCCTCCTACTAGAAATTCTCTGCTGCAGCATTGCCCATGTTTGCCTCTTGAAGCAGCACTTGTGCTCAGGGACACTATCCATGGCTATTTTGAGTGCCCGATAAGACGGTTAAACTGGACAAAATAGATCTGAGCTATCCTTAGGAGCCATTTGCCCAATCTCTAGTCCCAAGGAAGGTGTAGATGATGCCCTAGTTTCTGTTTAATCACCTCACTTTGGGTCTCCAGACAGAGAGACCATGAACCAGATCATGTGTCATTTGTATCATGCCACAGTTTACTTGAAAAAGCACTAAGCTGGGAGTCAGAAGCCTCGGGTTCCTGTCTTTATTCTCTCATTAAGCAGCCATGTAATTTTAGGCAAATCTCTTAACCTCCCTGCAATTCCATTTTCTCACCTGTCACATAGCCAACTTCCCTGACTGCCTCACAGAGATGTTTGAAGATCACACAATAGTAACAATTATTATTATTGCTGGCATTTGTATAGCACTTTAAGGTTTGTGAAGTCCTTTAAAAATGTTATTTCGTTGGCACTTCACAACAACCTGATGTGGATACTGAGGATGATAGGGATTCAGTGATGTGCCCAGCATCACACAGCTACTATCTGAGGAAGGATTTGAACTCAGGTCTTCCTAACTCCAGTCTGCTGCACCACCTAGCTTCCTCTAGTAGATATGACAAGTTAAATGTTATTGTTAAGGTATATGAGCATAATGGGGGTCTTTCTGATATCCTTCCATTCCCTCAGGGTACCTTGGAACCCTGAAGGAGAGACATCCTGGATCTGGGAGAGTGAGCCAAAGCATGCTGGACATACAAAACAAAGTCCTTACAACTCTGTGAGGTAGTTAATACAAGTGTTCTTATCTCCATGTTACAGTAGAGGAAATTGAAACTTAGGCTAAATGATTTACCTGTGGTCACAGAGTGACTAGGCCAAGACTTGAACACAGGCCTCCTAGTGGATCCTAAGTTGTACTTCATACTGCCCGTAGCACCTAGCATCATATCCAATACATAGGGTGGGCCCCTTAGTAGATGGCCATCTCAGGGTTATGGTATTCTGGTTGTAACTATAACTTACAAGTCCCCTCCCCCATGTGTTTGCCTTTTATAGTTAGTCAGAGGACATAATTAGCTCAAAGTAAAGGCATTTAATGAAACGTCATAATAATAGAAGTAACAAAACACTTCCCTCATTGACTTGAGGCCTTTGTTGTTATTCAGTCCTTTTCCAGTTCTGCCTGACTCTTCTTGGCCCCATTTGAGGTTCTCTTGGTAAAGAGTGGTTTGCCATTTCTTTCTCCAGCTCGCTTTATAGATGAGGCAAGTGAGGCAAACAGGGTTAAAGTGACTTGCTCAGGATCACACAGCTAGTAAGTGTCTGAGGCTGTATTTAAACTCAGGAAGATGAGTCTTCCTGATTCTAAACCCAGTGCTCTATCCCCTGGGACACCTATCTGCCCTCTTGTGGCCTACCCCTCCAGAAATACACAGAGCATCAGTGGGAAGAGCGGACACACGTCTGTTTCACAGGAGAAGCACACAGGGAAAACATGTGGCCAGGATGCACACAGTAGGAAATAGGTAGGTAAGGTACATATGTAGAAGGGCAACTCATGTTCCTGATGCTTGAAGGGCCACTGATGTCTTCTAGAGAGGTGCTGATGTCTTCTCATGATAGCATCGTGATGTTTCTACTGGATTTGGTCTCATATTCCCTGCCAGATATGCTATACTGGAAACATGTAGGCCAGAGGCTGCAGTTCTGAACATGTAGTTTCCACCACCTCTAGCTTCTGGCTTAACTGACCTATTTAGCTGACTCTTTGCCATGGAAGAACAGGGGCTACCATGCTTTCTTAGCTTAAATCTTGCAGGTAGGCCTCCCTTTTACTATGTTTCTCCAGGTATTTTAAAATAACATTTTTTTTTTAATGTTTTCTGTTTCTTACATCACCACAGTATCCCAAGGATCTCTCCCCCTCTCCCTCCCAGACAGCTATCCCATATGAAAAATCATATTTTTTTAAGAGAGGAAAAAGTCAGAACAATTGATCAATGCACTGAAAGTTTGAAAACATATGCAGTATATAACACCTGTGGACCTCCCACCAACATGAAGGATAGGTTGGAGATGCCTTCTCATATCTCTTCATTTGAGTCCCACTTGATATTTATAATATTGTTACATTTACTTTTGATATTTTGGCGTATCATTCTTTCCTTTTAGATTGTTATATTTATTTTATATATTGTTTTCTTGTCTCTGCTTACTTCATTCTGCATCAATTCATATAGATCTCTACATATTTATTTGTATTCATCGCATACATAATTTCTTATAGTGCAATAGCATTCTATTACTTTCACATCCCACAATTTGTTTGGCCATCCCCCAATTGATGGGATCTACTTTGTTTTAGCAGTCACAAAAAGTATGGCTATAAATATTTTTTTTTCAGTATAGCTCCCAGTACTTTTAGATAAGGCAGGAAAAAAAAAACAACCTTCACTTGGGAACAGCAGAAAGCCTTCCCATTTTGCAACTGCTAAGGTTTTTCTTTTCTTTTTTTTAGCCCTAGTTTCTAAACTCTATAGAAGAATAGGGTAATTAAAAAATTAGGGTAATTCCAGCTAGCTACTGCCATTTGCACTGACTTATTCTCATTCTCTCTCTCTCTCTCTCTCTCTCTCTCTCTCTCTCTCTCTCTCTCTCTCTCTCTCTCTCTCTCTCTCTCTCTCTCTCCCCCTCTCCCTCCCTCCCTCTCTCCTCTCCCCTCCCTCCCTCTCTCTGTCAATTGACCCATCAGTCAGACATTTACTAAAGCTTACCATCTGCCTCGACTTGGGCCCCTCAGAGACTTCACCTTAGTCTATGACTGATTTTAATCTCTGAAATCTAAATCAAGCTCTGAGAATTTGGGGTTTTCTAGTTTTAACATTCCAAATTTCTTTTATTCTCTCATGTAGATGAGTGGATGGAGAAAAATATACAGAGAGACCAAACCCAATTCAGGGCAAGGTCATTGACAAGGTTATTTTCTTAGCCATAGTCCTGACTACTCCATATGCAGATGAGATCTATATCTGAAAGGGTCTTTGGCCACACATCCTTCCTTACACAGTGATGTCAGAAGTGGTGCTTACATGTGGGGGAAGGGGCTGAAGGACAGAACTGAGGCTGGAGTGGGGAGGAGGTGGGAAGTTCCACTCTGCTAGAGGACCTAGAAATGTTCTTAAAGGGAATTAGTGAAGGCCTGGAAGCATGAATCACCCATCAAAATAAATGGCCAGGAGAGAGGAAAAAAAATCAATCTCTTGGTAGGAAAAGGAACATCTCACATCAAACAACCAGCTTTGCTGCAGTCCCCATGCTGGGCATGCTAATCAATTGACACAGCAGCCTGGGACTTTAAAATCACCAAGGTTTTGCAAAACCACCAAGGGGGGGTAATTGGTTGGACAGGTCAGGGAAGAAAGTCAGACTTACAGTCATCAAGAACAAGGAGAGAAAGGACACATTAATTACCCTAGAACATTCTTGAGGGGTGGGAGATAAGAAGGAGACTGTCGAGATCACCCTGGTGTGAAAGATTTGGGCATTTTTCTTGAACTCATACATAATTTTTTGCCAAAGTATAATAATTCAGGCATGTGTCGACCACTGGATTTATGTGCACAATATCAGTAGTATGAGAAGTTGACTTAAATTTGCACAAAGTATGAGAAATGGGGTCTGAGTAAATGACAGTTTGGAATTCACTGCCTACCGCTTTCCTGATTTTGAAGTTTTTTTTTTTCTCTGAAGCCCATTTCTTCAGGGTGGCCCAAGTTGAAATCAGGGCATTCTAGCCTCTATCTTGGGAATATGAAATGTTATCCAAACACCATCCCCCCTGACAATGGCACCCACCTTGAGCTTTAAGAGATGCCAAAATGAAGAGGCTCCTGCCCTTTCTCTGACCCCATTTCATTTATAAAATGAGGAATGGTATGAACTATCTATTTAGAAAAATCCCTTTTGGCTCTAAAATTTTATGATGTGGATTTCTCAAACCCATATAAGGATTAGGGGAATTGTTTATTGTTCAGTGAGGCTGGGGGGCGGTATTCAATTTTATCCTGATAGCAAAGAGTCATGAGCCTCCAGCGTTGGCTAATATTCAGAGTCTGGTTTTATTAGAAATAAAACAGTGGGCAAAGTACCTAGTAAAACAAACTCTCTGATTTCTGGGTTCTAGTTGCAGGGGTTCCTAAAACTTGGGGTCTGTGAACTTGCTTTTCAAAAAGAAATTAGAGAACTGTAACTATAGTGTAACTGATTTCCTTTGTAATCCTATGTATTTTACTTAATGTATTTAAAATCATGATTTTGAAAAAGGGGTTGATTAATAGGTCTCACCAGATTGGCCAAGGGTTCCATAACACAAAAAAGGTCAAAAACTCTTGTTTTAGAGCCCTACTCTCAGCCCCAGTGCCATCAGTGATGGTGGGGGGCAGTGAGTCAAGAAGGGAAGATAGAGGTCAGGAAGGACTAATGTATATTTTGCAGAGGAGAGGTTTTTGCATTCCAACAAGCTGAATCCTAGTTCGTTTGACATCTATTGGTGATTAGCACAGTGCTTGGCACATGTTAGGTGCTTCATATTTGCTTGAACAGTTGTAGTTCTCTCCCTCCCAACCCCTACCCAGATCAACTACTTTGGTTCTTAGAGGGGCTGTTGTTTCTGGCTAGGGAGCTTACTTCTTTTTCTCCCCATTAGGAGGCAAGAGAGAGACAAAAGAGGACCATGTTTGAGTTTTAGGATCTTTTGAATCAGCATCAGTGCCTGTTTGGGAAGTTTAGTGGGTGTATTTCAGCTTAGAGCTCACTTTTCACTGAGGCTGTTTCATGACACAGTCAGCTTGGCTCCAGGTTACTCATTTCAAACTCAATTTGTGGGTCTGCTAAAAGTAATATCATCATCACCATAGCTGTAACCTGATTAATCTCAGCCCAGCCCTGGCCTCAGCCCCTCTGAGCTCAGGGCATTGCTGGCAGCAGGCAGGCTCCTCGAACACCAGCTCTGAGCAGGAAGGTAAGGGAGCTGCTATTGCCGGGAGATCTGGCTCCCTTTGCCCTATTTGTATCCAGGCTTGGGTTGGTCTGAACTTTTCTCCCGGTTTTCCAGGGCTTTTGCATCAGCTGGGCTGCGTTTGGCTTTTCCTGTCCTGTCACTGTTACAGTTGATTTTCCTGCTCCTTCATGATTGGTCTATGGAAACAGGGATATTTGTTAACTATCTCTATTGTTTCTTAAAGCCAACATTATGGGTACTCTCCAAGGTATCTGGCTGGGAGTTGAGTTGGTAGCCTTTAAGGTCTCCATGTGAAGAGAGGTGGTTTGGATTGTGGAGAGAAATGAGATGGTCTTCCTGTGTGATGTGGGTAGTTTATCTCCTTATGCTGGCAGTGGCACAATCTTGATGTGTGCATGAGGGCAGTGTGGTTGATGAGTGTGGTATGATTTACTCAATCAGGGCCTCCCCCATACCATGGAACCAATCTATGCTTCCCCTTCTATGAGAGAGAGGGATAAAGGGCATAACGTATATAGAATATAGTATAAGAAGTTGACTTAAATTTACACAAAGTCTGAGAAATGGGATCCGAGTATAAGACAGTTTGTAATTTAGTGCCTATGAGCTTCTAGGTCCTAAGATTTTTTTCCCTTTGAAGCTCATTCCATTAGAGTGGCCTGAGCGATAGCCAGGGTAGTCAGTCTCTCTCTTCATCATAGGAAAGATCCGTTAGACATCCTTTCCCCTCTC